TTTAAAAAATAAAATAAAATAAAATAACAAAATACAAAATTTTACAGTATGATTGCAGTAATATAATATGTATCACTCTAACCAGGATGCTTTCTTTTAAATATATTTTTATTGATCTCAGAGAGGAAGAGAGATAGAAACATCAGTGATGAGAGAGAATCATTGATCAGCTGCCTCCTGCATGCCCCCTACTGGGAATTGAGCCCACAACCTCAGCACCCTTGACTGGAATCAAACCTGGGACCCGTCAGCCCACAGGCCAACACTATCCACTGAGCCAAACCGGCTAGGGCAAACCAGGATGTGTTTTGTTTGTTTGTTTGTTTGTTTAATACTGTACAGCCCTCCTCAGTGCTCACAGGTTTGAACAATGGTTTGAGAATGCAACTTCCTCTGGCATGAGTCCACTGTGAGAGGCACACAGAAATCAGGATGTTTTTAAAGCTATTTTTTATTGATCAAATACTACATGCTGGGTGCTGTGCTAAGAGCTTTAATGAGAGCAAGCAGTAAGTGGAATTTTACTTTTAACTAATGCGTGTCTGATTCCAGAGCCTATGCTCTTACTGCCAGGGAAACAAATATGCAAAAATAAAATAATTTTTTACTAGGAACCAGGTAGGATTAAGGGTGATTCTCTTTCTTCAAAAATTTAATGTTCTTATGTTGTTTCATTATAACCTCACATTTCCAAGACAGTGGGAAATTTGCTAGTTGCTAGCAAAATGGTCAATTAGACAAGCTTTACCTTGTTCCTTGGGATACTAATCTCAAGTTCTGCTTCATGCAAACAGCATCGATAGTGGCTGCTGGAAATGTTTTATAGTTTGATCTGGGTGGTGTTTTCACAGGTGTACACCTAGGTACGAATTCATCAAGCAAGTTTTCTAAAAGCCGTAGTCCCTCCTGTTGGAAATGAGCGTGTAAATCGGATTAAACACTTCCGTGTGCTCTGCAGGACAGAGGTGTGATTAACTTGGTTTAAGGCATTTCCAAACGTCCTTTGGCCACAGGACACTTTTGTCTCACAATATCCATTAAAATATAGAAGAATAAGGGAGGACACAAATCATCTTTGATGAGAGCAGAGGTGTCAGGCTGTGGATGTTAGGGAACTCTTGGCTTTTGCACTCTGGAGGTGGGTGCCGGCGCCTAAACACCCTGCAGGGGTGAGGAAGAAGAGAGCCGGCAGTTACAAGACAGTGCAAAGCGTTTCTACACGGAACGGCCAGGATACTCCCCACCCCTCCCTCCCTCACATGTTACACCATCTTTTCGGGTTGCATTTGGTTGCTTCCACACTCCACACGCCCTCCCGTATCTCCGTGAGCTCAGCCAGTCGTCAGCGTGTGTAATGGTGGAGAGAATAGGTTTAGCGTCAGGGACCTCTGAGCAAGGTGATCAACACCCTGAGCTTTGTTTCCTGGAAAAGCCTAGAAAGCGGAGGTGGCCATAGGGATTCTCTTGGGGTTATTTCTTTCAATCAACAAATAGTTTAGCTGAAACCGGTTTGGCTCAGTGGGTAGAGCTCGGCCTGAGGACTGAAAGGTCCCAGGTTCGATTCCGGTCAAGGGCATGTACCTTGGTTGCGGGCACATCCCCAGTGGGGAGTGTGCAGGAGGCAGCTGATCGGTGCTTCTCTCTCATTGATGTTTCTAACTCTCTGTCCCTCTCCCTTACTCTCTGTAAAAAAATCAATAAAAAATATTTTTAAAAATAGTTTAAACACTTAAGAGATAAAACGGAGAACAAGACGAACAAAGCCCCTGCCTTGGTGGAGTGCACACTAAGGTGAGGGGACAGACACCAAGCAAGTAAATACTCATGTGAATGGCCTCCTGGTGGGAGGCAGATCGCACTGCCCAGAGGAGTGGCTGACAGGGCCTTGGAGCAGAGACCGGGTGCTGAGGAGCCAGCTGGCAGCTCAGGGAGAAAGGCTGAGCCAGCTGAAGCCCCGTGCAAAGTCCTGGCGGTGGGAATACTCCTGTGGCCGTTGGGAGGCAGGAGTGGCAGGGAAATTCCAAACCCCTGTCCATGGAGAAGAGCTGAGCTGCCGTGACAGCGTTTGGAGGACAGAGGGTGTGGGGGAGGAGGAGGAGTCAGTAGAGGAGACTTAGAGGGTCAGAGGCCAGGAGGGGCCTGTGGTTCTGAGTCAAGGGGAGGGAAGCATGGCAGGGAGAGGGGAGTATTAGAGGGCAGTGAAGACGGGGAAAGGATTTGGCCATGAGGGCTTGCCTGAGAAAGGGCCCTTTCCACTCAGCTCTCAGTGAGGACAGGAGTCAGGTAGGGAGTGGGGGTCAGGCAAGGAGAGGCCTCCAGCAGGGACTGCCTCTGCTAACAATGGACATCGGTATTTAGGAATCTACTGAATTGATTTTGGCTTCCATCTATCTGGACTTTTTCTTGGGTGTGTATTTTTTTTTTAACTAAATATTTTTATTGTAAAAATAACTCAGAAAAATAAATATGAAAATCCAGAAAAGTAAAAAGAGGAAAAGTCGTTTAGAGTCCCACCACTCCGAGACAGGCACTGCTAATCTCACAGTGGAATTTCCTTTTTCTGAGCTTTTATTGAACAACTAGAGGCCCAGTGCATGGAATTCGTGCAGGAAGGGTGTCCCTCAGCCTAGCCTGCACCGTCTCCAATCTGGGACTCTTCAAGGGATGTCCGACTGCCCGTTTAGGCCTGATCCCGCTCTCTGAGGCCAGGGTGTGTGGAAAGCTTTGCTTCCTCCATCGCTGGGGGCAACCCTAGTCTGCTGTCTCCAGCTCTGTGGCTGCCGCCATTTTTCTTGGATTTATCTTCTATAATTGAAACTTTGTATTCTTGAGTGGAGGCCTAGGCTGGCCAGGGTGTGTGGAAAGCTTGGCTTCTTCTATTGCTGGGGAAACCCAAGCCTCTTAACTGCTCTCTGTGGCTGCAGCCATCTTGGTTGGAATTAATTTGCATACTATCTCTGATTGGCTGGTGGACAAGGTCGGTGGGCATGGCTTGAGCGGAGTGATGGTTAATTTACATATTATTCTTTTATTAGGTAGGTTATTAGGAATCATACTATACCTCCAATTTTATGTCCTATTTAAAAGCCCACATTCTCATCACCCAAAGACAGCATTGCTAATGTGTTTTTACTTGTTGTTCTTTTAGCATTTCTAGGTTTTTTTTCTACACAATTATTTTAAAATATTTTTATTTTATCAAAGTAATACAGGAGAATGGTTAAAAATCAAATAGTATAAAAGGGCTACTAGTGAAAATCAATAATCCCTGCCCTCTGCATTCCTATTTCTAATCTTCCTCCTCTTTTTTTAGCTGATGTTTCTTTTTCATAGTTACCTTCAAATCACCAGCATGTGCACACCATTATTTCCTGGAGTATCAATTTTGGACATTATCTGTGGCTGCCTTTGTGATACATAGGGATTTAGCTCACTTAGCACCAATTTTCTTCCATTCTCCCCATATAATTATGGCAATATTTTTTATTGATTATCTTTATAGCTTTATATACATACCTATAATTTATTTCTTATTCTGATAACTGTGGACAGTGTTTCTTGACTTATCATTTTGTAAGATAATGATATTAGTGCCTCACTCTTTTCTTCTACATTTTTGTGCCTTTCTCGCCCCAATTAAACCCTTTAAACATGGTTATAATTTACTGTGCTAATTTTTCATTCTGCTCTGCCTCATAAAGAAATAATTAATGCAATAAAAGGCAGTGATCTTAAGTATGTAGCTTGATGAATTTGTACCTAGGTGTACACCTGTGAAACCACCACCCAGATCAACCTATAAAACATTTCAAGCACCCAGTACAGTCTCTCAAACTCTCTCCCACTTAATGTTTCTAGAAAGACCGCAGTTCTAACCTATATTACCTTTATAGATTGATTTCCCCTGTTCTTTAATTCATATAAACAAAAAATCAAATAGTATCTGCTCTTGAGTCTGGCTTCCTTCATCCATCATTATGTTTTTAAGAGTAAGCTGTTTTGTTGCATGCATCAATAGTTCATCCTTTTTTTTTTTAATTGTGTTATTCCATTGTGGGAATATATCACAACTTATTTGTCTGTATTCTTATTGAAGAACATATGGACTGTGTCCAGTTTGGGCCATTATGAGTAAGGCTGCTCTAAACATTTTTTCAGTGACTATAAGCAATCCTATTGAATAAGTACCCAGGAGTGAAATTTCTGTGTCATAGGTAGGTGTATGTTTAATAAGTTCTACCCAATTGTTTTTCAAAGGGCTTGTGCTGCTCCCAACAGCAACACGTGTGAGTTCCCATTGTTGCTCATTGTCACTGACCCTGGAATGGTCAGTGCTGTTGATTTTAGCTCTTTTTGTGGATATGTAATGGCACCTCAGATTTGTATTATCCAATGACTGTTGAAACTTAGCACATCTTTATGTTTCACGAACATTTTGGGTATTTTCTTTTGTAACGTTTAGGTCTTTTTATTTTAATTTTAAAAATTGTGTTCTTTTTTTACCAATGGGAATTCTTTATATATTTTGGATAAGAGTCTCTTGGTGGCTATCTATATTACAAATATCTTTTTTCAGTCCAAGCTTGTCTTTCCATTCTCTTAATAGTTTCTTTTGACCAGTGGAAATTCTTAATTCTAAGGAAGTCCAATTTTTCAATTTTATTATTATTAGTGATTTTGTGTTCTATTTTAAAAGATCTTTGCCTATTTCAAATCATGAAGATATACTTCTCTGTTTTCTTCTAAAATCTTTGTTTTAACTTTCACATTTAGGAGTTTTTGTATGATATGAGGAAGGAGTAAATGTTCTTTATTACTATTTCTTAGCCACATGTTAAGTTTTCTAGGTCTAAAGAGAAGCCATTCTTCTGCATGGACGGGAGCCTAGGCCAGATAATTCTCCGGGTGGTAAAGCAGGTTAGATCCAAGGGAAGAAGCCACATTTCTGCCCCTCTGCCCTGGTCATCCACTCACTGGCATCTGCCCTCTTCCCACGTCAGCCTCGGGCCCTTTGGAAATCGCACTCACGGTCACCATGACCTTGCTTGCCCTGGGCTCCATCGCCATCTACCTGGAGGACGCTGTCTACCTGTACAAGAACACCCGCTGCCCCATCAAGAGGAGGACTCTGCTCTGGAGCAGCTCTGCTCCCACGGTGAGGGCTGCAGCTGCCCTCTGGGGGGGACTGAGAGGAGGCAGGGACCACTTTGAGAATTCCTCTAAACTCAACAATTCAAGTCAACCAAGAGCTGCCTGCCTCTGCCACCTTAGGAGGGGGTTTCTAACCGATCTCCATTTGCATTCAGAACACACAACCCTCACCCCCACCCCCACCCCCCATCCGGGTACATAAAAGGCCCCAGGCAGTGGGATGGAGTGTTGGAATTCTGGGAGCCACAGAGACAACTAAGGAAACCTGCTCTGCCACCAGTGGCCCAACCACCGCTCCCCACGGCGTTGCTGTTAAAAGCAAGTCTCCTCTCTGTACAGGCGAGCAGTGGCTCCTCAGAGAGCAGGAGGGAAAGAACGTTTTCCCCAGGGGGTCATACTTAGCTCTATCCTTACATTGTAGGCTTTAACATTCCCCCAGCCGTTATATTGGCCTTTGGCTTGCTCATAGACAATAAGATTGAACTCCGTTTCCTTCTGGTGAGCTCTGTGTGTCTCTTTGGGGTAGTGAGGGGGCCCTTCAGGTCCTTTCCTGGCAGATGACTTCTGCCCGAACCATCTCAGGTCATCAGAGACACTCCCACCACATGGAGTAAGGGTTGAATCTGGATCCATTTACTCCTAAGGATGAACTCACCTCCTCCTACCCCAATGCTTATAGGATGAGATCGTCTTTAAAAAACAAACAACCCTGGCTGAAGGTGACATGCTGGATTAAATTTTCAAAAACTGTTCCATCAGTGATTTTTCCAGCTGGCCACTGAGTGACAGTCCCCGGATGTGTAGGTTTTGCTTCCTTGAGCTCTTGTCCAAAAGGCTCAGGAGCGTGAGCACCAAGCCTCCCTCCCCTCAGCCGGCTTCCTGCTCCTCCCCAGGTGGTGTCTGTGTTCTGCTGCTTCGGGCTCTGGATCCCTCGTTCCCTCATGCTCGTGGAAATGGCCATCACCTCGTGAGTGTCCCGCCCGCCCCAGCTCTGGGCATGGGGTCCTTCCAGGGGTTCCCTCTGCTCCCCGCTCACCCGGGAATCCGGAGTCCATGCCTCCTTGTACCCCCTCTCCCTTCCACAAATCCCTGCACGAATCGAATCAAGCCCTTCCCAGCTTGTGCTAACCCGGGGCTCCTGAACTTCAGGAGCAGTTCATCCTAGGCCACATGTGTCAAACACAAGGCCCGCGGGCCAAATCCGTCCCGCCAGGCCTTGCAATGTGGCCCGCACCGCGCTGTCATCACTGCACTCCACTGCGTTTCCATCACAATGACAGTTTATGACTGTTCAGTAAACCATTCGGCCCGCGATTTAGGCTGGATTTTAGATTTTGGCCCCTTCTCTGATTGAGTTCGACACCCCTATCCTAGGCCATCATCTTGTCCCCTCGGCCTGAAATTCCCCCTCCCAGGCCCCTGGACCCATCCTCTCTCATTCCTCTTGGAGTCACACATTCAGAGTGCCTCGTCCCTACCATGATCCCCTCAGGAAGCCGCACCCCTCCCTGCTCCCTTTGCAGTCTCTCTTCCTTTGGTGGCAGAGGCTGTCCCCTCAGCTGGCTGCCCCCCACCCCCGAGTGCCCTGAGGCCCACGTCTCCCCACTCCAGGTTTTACGCGGTGTGCTTTTACCTGCTGATGCTGGTCATGGTGCAAGGCTTTGGCGGGAAGGAAGCAGTCGTGAGGACCCTGAAGGACACCCCGATGAGGATCCACACAGGCCCCTGCTGCTGCTGCTGCCCCTGCTGCCCCAAGCTCATGCTCACCAGGTGCGACGGGAGGGAGGGGCGCCCTGGAAGCCCGGTTCCAACTCCCCGCACCCTCTCTCTCTCTCTCTGGTTGGTTCTCAGTTCTGCTTCAAACCTATTGGAACTAGTCTTTTATTTATTTTTTAAAATATATTTTATTATTTTTTACAGAGAGGAAGGGAGAGGGATAGAGAGTTAGAAACATCGATGAGAGAGAAACATCAATCAGCTGCCTCTTGCACACCCCCTACTGGGGATGTGCCCGAAACCATGGTACATGCCCCCGACCGGAATCGAACCTGGGACCTTTCAGTCCGCAGGCCGATGCTCTGTCCACTGAGCCAAACCGGTTTCGGCGGAACTAGTCTTGTATGGAACGAAGTTAATGATAAAAGGGTGGGTATCCCACCCAGAACCCACACATTAGGCGTCCGCTCAGAGGTAAGGGGAGCCGAGAAAGAACTCTGACGTTCCCATCACGTAAGCCACTGCCCCTGCCATGTTAGCCACAGACAAAACTGAACTCTAGGCTGTTTCCTAGCGCCCCCTGCTCACCTGGTTAACGAGGTTGGGTTCACACGGATCGTTCTTGCCCTAAAGGCAGCATTCTGGCATAGGAGCGAGTGGGGAGCAAGAAGCAGGGTTGCCAGTGCTCTCCGCATCCTAGCTTCTTCCTGTGTCCACATCCATTGAACCATTCCGGGGTCTGACGGCAGCCACGCCTCCACCCGGAGCCCAGGGAGGGAGAGGAGAGCCGCCGTGGGTGGGCAGTCTGTGGGTCCCTGTTCCTAACCCTCTGCTCCCCTCAGGAAGAAGCTTCAGGTGCTGATGTTGGGCCCCTTCCAGTACGCCTTCTTCAGGATAACCCTGGGCCTGGTGGGCCTGTTCCTCGTCCCTGATGGCATCTTCGAGCCAGCAGACGTAAGCTGGGAGTGAGGGGCAGTGAGCTCCGAGCCCCATTTGGTACCTTTGAGCCCTACGGGGAATGGCTGGAGCCAATATCCCCTGATACCTGGGGACAGAGTGACTGCAGACAGAGGCTCAGGCACTATGGTGGGAGAGAGGAGACTGGAATAAGCCAGGGCTACAGGCACGGTTATCTCCTTGGGGGAGGAAATAAAAGGGAGGAAAAGGGCTTGTCTCATCCCTCGCTGACTCCAGCCTGGTCTGCCACCAGATTTCTGAGACGAGCACAGCTCTGTGGATCAACACTGTCCTCGGTGTGTCCACTCTGCTGGCTCTCTGGTGCCTGGCCATCGTTTTCCGTCAAGCCAAGCAGCACCTGGGCGAGCAGAACATCGGGGCCAAGTTTGCTCTGTTCCAGGTAACTATGCCCTGAGAGAGAAAAGGTGGCTCATGGTAGAACTCCAAACGATCGGGGTGAGGACGTGAGTCTAATAAAGGCTAAAAGGGGTCTGGGAATCTCCTTAAGCCTTAGGTTCCTGTGAGATTTGAAAAGAGGTCCCTGCTCCTTTCCCAGATTTTGCTTTTTGTGCTGTTTGCTTTTTGTTTGCTAGGGCTGCTGTAATAAAATACCGCCAAGTGGCTCAAAACAACGGAAATTTATTCTCTCACAATTCTGGAGGCTAGAAGTATAAAATCGAAATGTCGGCTGGGCTGTCTTCCCTCTGAAACCTGTGGGGGAGAACTCTTCCTTCCTCTGCCCGCTTCTGGAGGTTTGCAGCAATCTCGCCTCCCTCAGCTTGCAGCTGCATCATTCTACTTCTGCCTGTCATCACATGGCTTCTTCCCTCACGTATCTGTGTCTTGTGTCTCTTTGCCTCTTCTTATAAGGATGCCAGTTATACTAGAATAATGCCCTAGCAGGTTTGGCTGAGGGGATAGAGCATTGAGCTGTGGACTAAAGCAGTGTTTTTCAACCTTTTTTGGGCAAAGGCACACTTGTTTCATGAAAAAAATCACGAGGCACACCACCATTAGAAAATGTTAAAAAATTTAACTCTGTGCCTATATTGACTATATATAAAGTAATTCTCTTGAATAGGAATCAAATAAACACAAAGAAAGTATTTTATAATTACTTTATTATGAAATATTAAGTAAACAAAATAGTGAAAAATTATAAAATTCTTGTCTTGTCTGCACCTACGGCACACCAGGCAACATCTCGCGGCACACTAGTGTGCCGCGGAACAGCGGTTGAAAAACGCTGGACTAAAGGGTCCCATGTTTGATTCCAGTCAAGGGCACGTGCCCAATTTGCAGGCTTGATCTCCAGAAGGAGGCGTGCAGGAGGCAGCCGATCAATGGTTCTCTCTCATCGTTGATGTTTCTATCTCTCTCTCCCTCTTCCTTCCTCTCTGAAATCAATGAAAACATATTTTTAAAAAGGATAAGGGCCCACCTTACTCTGGTATGACTTTATCTTAGTTAATGACGTATAATTAATTAACCAAAACAATGATGCTGTTTTGAAATCGGTCCTATTCTGAGGTACTGGGATTAGGACTTCAACATATCTGTTTGGGGGGTACAATTCAACCCATAACCATAACTTCTTCCACTTTTGCTTTTTATCTTCTCTAGATTACTCCTAAAATCCTATAATCCATCACCAGCAGTATGAGCACTATCTCAGCTACAACTATGAACTATTCACACCATGTGCTAGGCACTTTTTCATACAGTACTTTAAAATAAATAAAAAATTAAAAAAACCAGCCGAAACCGGTTTGGCTCAGTGGTAGAGCATGGATCTGCGGACTGAAAGGTCCCAGGTTCGATTCTGGTCAGGGGCATATTGGTTGCGGGCACATCCCCGGTGGGGGGTGTGCAGGAGGCAGCTGGTCGGTGTTTCTCTCTCATCGACGTTTCTAGCTCTCTATCTCTCTCCCTTCCTCTCTGTAAAAAATCAATAAAATACATTTTAAAAAATAAATTAAAAACAAACAAATAAATAAATAAAACAAACAGCTCTCACCCAAAGATATGTTGAGAGACAGAGGAAGGGTTGGGGAGGGAGAGAACCATCAATGTGAGAGAGAAATATTGATTAGTTGCCTCCCGTATGCACGACTGGGGATCAAACCCATAACACAGGTATGTGCCCTGGCCAGGAATCAAACCCACAACCTTTTGGAATGTGGACAACCTACTGAGCTACCTGGCCATGGCTTTGTACATTACATTTAAATATTCACAACAATCTTAGGAGTCATTATTATTTTTATTTTACAAATAAGAAAACTGTGACCCAGAGATGTTATGAGACTTGCTCCAAGGCACATAGGAATGGGGCTAGAATTTAAACCCAGATCTGTCTCAACCCACATTCCTTCTTCTCTTCATCATCACACCTCTTCTGAAAGTTCAAAAGCACGGTGTTTGCTTTTTACACTTCTCATTCTCCAAGTCCAAAGACAACTTCTCCACCAAATGCAATATTTTGTTTTCCTGCTCTCTCCATTCTTTCTGTCTCCTGGCTGGGCCCTTCTCCTACTCCTAAGAAATAACAACTGTGTTTTAGCTAACAGAATGATTTCATATAAATTCTCATTTGCTCTAAGCAGACGCCTCTGAAATGTGAATTTCCAGGCATATAGTAGGTAGAACTGAAGGGGAAAAGGGAAGAGAGAGATGAGCCTGACATGGATCAGGGACAGAGGCAGAAGCCCGTAGGGTCAGGCACAGGTAAAAGCTGTCATTGCTGAGCCTGCCTGCGTTGCAGTGGCATTAAGTGCAGTCACATTGTCATGCAACCATTACCACCATTTGTCCCCTGGACATTTTCTTTTTCTTTTTTTTTAAATATATTTTATTGATATTTTACAGAGAGGGAGGGAGAGGGATAGAGAACTAGAAACATCGATGAGATAGAAACATCGACCAGCTGCCTCCTGCACACCCTCGACTGAGGATGTGCCCGCAACCAATGTACATGTCCTTGACCGGAATCGAACCTGGGACCTTTCAGTTCACAGACCGACACTCCATCCACTGAGCCAAACCGGTTTCGGCTCCCCTGAACATTTTCATATTCCCCACGGAAAGTCTGTACTCACTGAACACTAATTCCCCTTCGCCTCCAGCCCTGGCACAGCAGTGATTCTTCAAAGAACGCTCTAATAGTTAACCATCCATCATTCTATCAGCAGGGATCACAGGTACTTGAAGTAGATGGACTAACTCTTCCCTAATCAGCCGCCTTGTTTATTCTTTAAGTGCTCATTAGCAGCCATGGCTGAAATAAGGAAATAAACTTGAACCCTCTCCTTCCCCCCAACCCCCAATCAGTTCTTGTTCCTTGTCAGGAACTCTAATAAAATCCTGGGTAAGAACATCAGGTTGTAATTTTTCTAAAGATTACAAACTTGACCACATTTTAATCAATCCTCCGGGACTGCACGGATCTAAAGGTTGGCCGGATGCACAGCGGCAGGACAAGCATGACAGTGGCCAGCTGACCCCAGCGCCATGGACACTGAGCCACTCTGCCCGCTTCTCTCTTCCCTTCTGCAGGTGCTCCTCATCCTGACCGCCCTGCAGCCATCCATCTTCTCGGTGTTGGCCAATGGCGGGCAGATTGCTTGTTCGCCTCCCTTTTCCTCTAAAATCAGGTCTCAAGGTGAGCACACAGAAGCTCCTATCCCATTCCAGATGGGTGAGAGAAGGAGGGTCAGGGAAGAGAGGACCTTAGATCAGAGGTTGGGCCAGGCAAGCTGCTGCTCGAATACTCAGAAAAGGATCTCCAAAGATCTCAGCAGAGGTTTAAGAAGACTGTGCCTTCTCTGATCACACAGAGGAGAGCTACAGTTCCACAGCTTGCGGCCAACCTTGATGGCCAACCAAGAAAGCCATGGGCTCATCCTTAGCTCTTGGGAGAGGAATGGGTGTGGATGGGAAGCAGAGATCATGCTGATTAAGCACACAAAAGAAATCAGTTTTAATGCTAGCCTCAGGTGGCAGAAGGTGGCGTGAGAGCCAAGTTCTGGTTCTGGCTCTCCTATTAACCTGCTGTGAGGAGAAGTAACAGAAAGAGTTGTTCAACTGGCATGCCAGGGCTGCTGGTGGGATACCACCTCTGTAATTTAACCGACTTTACATTGCACCCCGCACTGCAGTGATGAATTGCCACCTCCTCATCCTGGAGACTTTTCTGATGACGGTGCTGACACGGATGTACTACAGAAGGAAAGACGACAAGGTTGGCTATGAACCTTTCCCTTCTCCAGCTTGAACTTCAAAGCCTGAGGCAGATGGCTTGGACAATGAAAGAGACACTGTACTCGTGAGAGGGGCACACGATCTCCTCACTGTCCCTCAACATTGACCGCGTGGGTAAGGACTCCATTGTCAGGATAAGCTGGCAAATTACACTGGACTATACGGATGAAGGTGAATCATGCAAGAGGATGAAATTGTTTTGGATCTTGCCTGGGGAAGGTAATTTAGTTTCATAACAGACAAACAGAATGGAGTCTGAAACTCTATAATCGGGCACATTACTCCCATGGGTGCCACGATTAGCCCTTAAAACTTGTATATTGGGAAAGCTTATGGTGTAAGAATGAGAACTCAGTCAGGATTTAAGCCCACAGTTCCGAAGAAAGCAGGCCCTGAAGAACAGATCGAAGGTGTTCTTCCCCTGACAGATGTGTCCTTAGAGCACTGATGACATTGGACCTGGGAGATCAGCTTTCCTTTGTGCGACAATAGCTTTGTAATTCTGTGCCAAGCTGCAAAAGGAACCCCCCACTCATACAGCCAGGGAGCTTACTTTGAGGAGATAAATTAGGATGCAAAAGCAAAGGAATTGAGAATATAGGTAAAAGCCCCAAATATGCCCGGCCAGCGTGGCTCAGTGATTGAGTGTCGAGCTATGAACCAGGAGGTCACAATTGGATTCTCCGTCGGGGCACAAGCCCAGCTTGTGGGCTCAGTGTGGGGCGGGCAGGAGGCAGCCAACCAATGGTTTTTTCTCATCAATGATGTTTCTATCTCCCTCTCCCTTCCTCTCTGAAATCAATAAAAAATATTTTTTAAAAGAGCTCCAAATACATAAAATGTACCATATACATGTATATCAGGTCAAAAACACAGAACATGAAACATTAGGTAAAACCACTTTGCTTTTATTTGGCTAAATGACAACAGCCAGAATAACTCTGAACAAATTAATGATACTCAGACAGGAAAACAATATCCTGAACACTAACGGAGGGAAAACATTCCCGCAGACGTCGGCACTAGTGATAGGGTTAACTGTCATGCTGAGGCCAGCATTTCTTTCCAAGACTTTGTCTCCCCCGGTTCCCTCTCCCCCACCCCCCTACCCCAGGTTCCTCGATACAAATAATCCAATCAACCAATTCTCTGTGATCAAAACAGTCAAGTGCTTCCAAAAAAGGATGGAAATCCTATTCAAACCTAAAGAAACACAACCTGAGTCATCCTCCATGTTAAACCTCCCACTTTTGTTTTCTACCCAATCTGAGTACTAATATATAAGTTTGGCAGACAGAAAATTTTTCTTCTTTTAAAGAAAGTTAACATCTAAATAGCATAATCCAAAGAACATGTTCTACTTATTTGGAAAAATAGAAGCCAGGGACTACTCTCTATCCCATGACAATCTATTCAATGAGAGAAAACAAAAACAATCATCGTATGACTTTGAAAAATATAACCTTCAAAAATACTTATATTGGTAAGCTTAAAAAAAATACCATTCGTTAAAAACATTGTTAAGGGAGTTTTGTTTTTCCTATATGTATTGGTAAGAGTGTGTGCTGACAGAAAAGGTAGCAGCTATGGCTTTTAGGAAATTAAAGAAAAGCAGCAAAGTGTAATTGATTTGGAAAGACTTAATTTATGAGATCTGGAACAGGATTACAAAGGCAATGAGCTCCAGAAAATCAAAAGCTACCCAAAGTCAAGAGAATATAGGCATAGAGCAACAGCAGCACTGTGAAGGGCTGTTGTAGAGGGAATCCCCAGAAGCTGCCTGAGAAGTTACCAGCAATCAGAAAAGGTCAAAAATTCTCTTGACCTCATTCATATTTCTCCTCCTCTTCTAGATTTTCAACTTCCTCACATCCCCAGCTTTCTTACCCAAACCTCATCCAAGTAGTGGCCTTTGACTCTAGCTACCAGAAGCAACTGTAGCAGTCTACGCATCCATTCCTGTTCTCCTGAAGTTTCAAGTGCTGCCGAGTCTAGTATACACAAGGAGCAGTCGTTCTGCCCATCCCATCCCATCCCAAGGAAACTGCTGAAATGGCGCCTCCTTAGCAATGGCAGGACTTCCTTCTCCATTCTCCGTGTGTCTTGCACACAGGCTCTGGGGCCATCCCACTTGGAAGGCTCTCCCATCTCTGCCACATTTGGCCTATTCAGGCTGACAGCTCCACAACCTCAAATATTAGTTATTAGGAGATTTACAAGTCACTGGTATGGCTGTGGTGTGCCAACCACATTTAATTAGGCACAAATTATCAAATAACGCATCATGCCAACAGCTTCTTCCATCCACCCATTCTTATTCAGCACCTAGGGTCACCTTTATCTTGAAGTATCTAACATGCCACACCTTAAAAGTTTTTGCTTTCAGGCAAAAGTGTTTGAAGATAGTGTTGAGAGACTGAGGCTGTAGTGTAGACTCACCAAAAGGGCAAGAGTGTTTTCTAAGAACTTGTGTACATGCTGGCCCTGACCATCTCACACAGCTTATCGGCCCGGAGGCCATAGAACCAGGTCAGCATGCCAAAAGCAGCCCCCTGACAGAGCAGAGGAGGAGGCCCAAAGATTGACACCCTGATAACATACTTGAGAGGAGTGACTACAGGAAAGAACCCCACACTTTGGGCATCTCCCTTTCCAAATATACAGGATAACATGTGTACCTTAAGGGAACAAGTGTGGACTTCAGTGGTGACTTCATTGCCTTTCTATAGCAGGGAGAGTAAGACTGAAAGAGAAAGAATTCCCAAAGGAGGAGGATTGAAGCAGAAAAGTTAAAACAGGTGATCATATGAAGCTGGGTAATGTAGGCCAAGATTAATTTCACCCTTAAAAAAAAAAAAGTATTCCAAGCCAAAGCTCATGTAAACCAGATTTGATAGTAAAAACAGCACTTCATGAGAAGAGTTAGAACTGCAGTTTTCATAAGCCATCGGGACAAGGGGTCCCCCCTCCCCCCCGGGTCCCTGTACTCTGCCATGTTCTGCCTCCGGGTGATCCGAGTTCTCAGAGCCTCGGTGGTCCTGGTGATGTCTATGAGATGCTCACAGCCCTAGCAGAGGGGCAAGAAAAGATAAGACGTGGTTTTCTTAGCTGAAAACACTAAAACTCCACCCCCACAAGGGGTATTTATGAGTGACGGGGTGGGGCCTGGACGTAAGCCGTCTTCCCCTGAACACAGCTACAAGATTCCTGATGGATGATGATCTGTCACGTGGCTCTAGGCTGCCGGAGGTGTAAGATGAGCTCAAGTTCAACAGCAAGTGTGAAGCTTCAGCATTCTCTGAGCTGAAACTTAAGGGATGCGTCCCCTGCCACCACCAGGCAGGCACGGGTGGGAGACGGAGAGCCTGCCACATCCTGCGATGGGAGCCCTTGCTCGGTGCCCTGCTGGAGGGGCCGGGGAAGAAAGGAAGTCCCTGCCAGCTGCCACTCTCAGAGGAAAGCCCTGGCTCCAGTCAAGAACATTCCTAAGAGGGGCAGAGTTCAAGATAGGAAGGTAGGTATTACCTTATGCTTTCATGTTCATGGTCTATGCAAATCTGTTTAATATGGCTGTGCGCAGCCTAGATTAACAAATCATGTTCAAATTACAGACATTTACAAAGAATCCTTTGTAAAAAGCTAGGTAGTAAGCATAGAAATAGGAATAGCAGGGCCAGGGACTTACTCCGGGGGGAAATGACACTAAACTGTGAGAGGGACGGAGTGCTGTCCCACCCCCTGAGTTGTTTTTAGAGTTCCTTCCTTCAGCGGTAGACGACAAGGAAGAGACTGACAAACGCTCCCAAGGACCGGGCCACAGTCTTCTGAGATGAACACAGCGGAAACGCCGGAAACGCCGCAGCTGACGCCATGTGCTCTGGCTCCAGCCCCGTTAGTGTCTTCATGGACCCCAGTGGGTCCAACAAGAAACTCCTCAGGGAGTAAACTGGACTTAGACCTCCTTCTTCCACAGCCACATTGACACTTGTGCCGGCAGTACCGTTAGGGATTTGTAACTATTACCCAGCTTTTAGCATTTTTTTCAAGGAAACAAAAATTGTATCTCCCCGCACCAAAAAAATCACCCATCAGCATGGCTCGTTGCTTGAACGATTTGGCAAGCCCGTTTGCCTCAGAACAGAAGGCAAACACTTATAGTGTTATCAGGAAGAAAAGGCCTCTGGGCATTACACCACTTCTTTCTGCCCACTCCTCAGGGGCAAAAAAAAAAAAAAAAGTTCTACTTACTATATTTTAAAGACTAATTTCTAAAAATTAATAAAAAGGACAATTTCCCTGCCAAGATCATATGAACATAAACAGTAAAGGAAAGTCCATGGGGAGGGTATTTGGATGCAGAACAGGCTTCTAGGATGCAGTCAGCCTCGTTCTTGCGGGGGTGATGTCTCTTGGAGAATGGGCTGTCTGGTCCCCCGATCTGAGGTCCTCTTGCCCAATTGTCTTTCCTTTGTAGCTGTCCTTAGGTTTATTGTTGGGATCACAATTAGGAATTCAACAGAGAGCTTCTGACGTGATGGGACGAAGGAGGGGAGAGTAAAGGAGGGTTGGAAAATTAGTCTTCTTCATCTTCGCTGATATCATAGGCTGCAGCCTTGTGCCTGGAGAGGTTTGTTGGGGAGGAAGAAGGGGAAGTCTTGCCGGAGAAAGGCCATCGGAAAGAGGGGGAGGGGGAGCGCTCTCGAGTGGGGCTGCTGCTGGGACTCTGCTTTGGGCTGATGGCCTGCAGCATCCGGCCTTTCCCCTCTTTCAGCATGTGTTTCTGGGGAGACCAAAAGGAAGAGTTAGAAGACACCCATGGATCCTACTAAGCCCTCCCTACCCTCCAGGCACGGCTGAGACTTCCAATGATCATGAGTGCCCTCTGCAATGCCAAAGTCACTGGAGTAAGCCAGAGAAGGAGCAGGGCCAGATGCCTGAGTAATTTTCTGTTTGAAGTGGTCTATGTTATACAACTTACCTAAAGGTTGTATCTAGTCACCTAATCTTGACTTCTATTATATGTCAAAGGAATTCTTAAAAGCCTATTTGGTTTATAGTCCAGGCTCCAGGCACAAACAAAGGAATTAACACCAGCAAAAGGTATCTTCCTGGAGTATTAGAGTTCTCTGAAAAGGAAAGTCCGTATTTTCTCTGAATAATCTATTTTGGTATCCAAACACTCTCACAGCCAGATCCTTCCTGACATCTAACCTAGGGCTCACTTGCTGAATACCTACACACACGCCCTTTTATTTGGCTGAAGAAATCTTGCCAAATAAAGGGCGTGTGTGTAGGTATTCTGTCCACCTCACCCAGCGATTCTGAGGCAGCTGTTTATTAGTGGAGGCAGCTTCCTTTTTTATTGTTCTTTGTTCTTTCCTTTCCTTCTGTCTAAAACTATAGTGTAGAAGTGGGCAAGGCCACTTATGTATCTTGTCACCAGATTTGGATGTTGATAAACAGCTGGTGAAATTATTTAGGAGAATATGTAAACTCTTTCTATAAACATTTGAAAGAACTTTTTGGGGATAGTTGAAAAATAGTTCTGCCCAGTAAGAGGAACAGATTAGATAACTTCTGAATGTGGATGTCCCTTTCTGCTCAAGGATTCTATAATTCTTTCCACAGCTTGAGAATTCCCAACATATTCCTAAAATTTCTTAAGTTATCCAGTTGGAGAAAACATACCAGTGCTCCTTCCGGACCAAACATTTCCAGGAAATTTCCAATGAATTCTCGGGATTTCTCCTCCCATTTCTGAATGAGGTCAATGCTTTTTTCCTCTACCTTCTGAACAAATTCTTTTGACTTTTCTTCCACATCTTTCACTTTCTTCTTTACTTTGTCAACCCGTTCCTGCAAATGGTATTTCTTCTCCTAGGTAAAGAAAGAACTGTTTTAAGAAATCATACCCACTCTGACATTTCTTACCAAAGGGAGGAAAGAAACATGGTTCATTACTCTATTGACATTCTTTTCAGTCTTTAGAATTTCACTTTGCTTAATCTACTCCACACTTCTCTAGCATAACAGGTAAGATATGCTCTGGATGATCAATCTTATACAAAAAGTGTGGTAATTCTAACATCATGGAAACCCAAACCAAACTAAATATATAAGGTTGGCCCAGTTACATGTATGCAACCAAATGAAGTAACATTTTTAAAGATAAAACTTAAGACTTAGAACATAAACATGCCCAACATAACCCAAATCACATTCTAGATGGAGATGTGAAGGGAACAAGATCACTGCAGAATATTGCCAAGAATAAGCCACTATAATATCAATAGGTTGAAAGTTGAAGTAGTAGATCTTTACTTAATTCGTTTTGTATTGGATTTTTCTCCTCTATCATTGGCTTATTCTATGATTTTAAAAGAGTTGTTTTTAAGTTTTGGAAGTCTGCTTGCTCATTCACAAAGTAAAGATGATACTCTTTGGTCCTACCAACTTCCCTAAGGAAGGGAAATGGGAGAAGGGGGAGTCTTTAGTCAAATGAAAAATATTCTCACAATTTCCCAATCATAGAGGGTTAAGGAAATATGTTTAAATTTTTGAACACCTGAAAAAAGAGAAAAGGTTCTGTAGTGGGCGGTTAACAACAGCTAGGGTTTATCTGCATAAGTAAGTCATATTCAGACGAAACCATTTCACCCAGTCATAATTCACAGGATGAGGAACAGGTAAGGAAGCTTGGTAAGCTACTAATGTAGAAGATACAGTTAGCAGCTTTCTTTTTAAATGAACTTTATAGAGGTATAATTTACATACACAAAATGTATAGCAGTTTGTTGCTAAAGGATAATATTAAGCTAAGGTAAACTTTGCTTCCATAAATCAAATTTTAAAATTTAGGTCTATATGTCCTGAGAAATGGCATGCAAAATGTATGTCGCTACCCACACAGGGAGAGGATCCATAGCTTTTACCAGATTTTCAAAAGCACACCAAATAAATTAAAAAAGCTAAGAACCACTATTAATGTATTTGATATACATGTTGGACTTTAAAATTGAAAATTCTCATTTATTGAATTGGCTCTGTGTCTTTATATCAATGTATTGATATTAGACCAGAAGGCAGAAAATATCTCTGTTTCATCTTTGTAAAGAGCTCAGCATGGCGTTATCTGTAGGAATCCGATGGGCTTTTGGAGGAAATAACCATAGCAGACTGAAAAGCGGGTTCAGCTCAGGTGAAGTGGGAGGCAATGTGTGTCCTGTAGGGCCAGGGAACTCTGGGATGAGGTTGGAACTCACGTTGATAAAGCTGACATTGAGCTCCTTTGCCGTGTAGCCCCTCTGTAGGTTCCGTCTGGCATACACATCATAGTCCCGGACAATTCGGGTGATGATGTCTGATGTAGAGATACCTTCTGTCCTCTGTGTTGGAGCGAACATGCCTAACCCCAAAACACATACAGACACGGTGACATTCTGCTTAGCTCAGGCAGCAGGACTAGATAGAAACTGGGAGCAACATTCCTTTCCTATTACTAAGGGAAGTCTGGAGATACTGACATACAGAAGGAGAAATGAATCAAAGGAAAGGGGTTAAGGAAAGGAAGGGCTATATGGCCCTAATATTAAGAAAAACCTGGGGCTGGAGAAATCCCTGAAATTAAGAGAGATATCAGTAAGTAGATGTTTAGTCTGAGAACTGATGGATCTCAGTGCTGTGCTCACTTTATCCTCTTACCAAAGTGTGACCTGAAAGTGGATGTTGAATTTCTCAGTGTATAAACTTTTCTCCGTAGAGTAGTTGTGTGGCTGAATCTCTGTCACTGCCCCTGATACTATACACATCACAGTGAGAATATGTACATCGACTTACTCACCTGCTTCCTTAATGTGCTTATAAACATCATCACTTCCTGCGGAAGAATAAGGGATGTCATCATGGGCCACAAAATCAATCTGAAAATAAGTAAACATCATTTAAAACCCAGGATACCTGCCATGCAGAAAGAACCAGTAAAACTCTCAGGCCCAGAAAAAAGACAAAGGGCCCAGGTCTCAAACGGACATTTTCTCTTTTTATTTTACTTTATTTTTAGAGAGAGAGTAAGGGAAAGAGGAGAAGAGAGAAAAACATCCATCAGCTGCATACTCCCTACTGGGGATTGAGGCCGAAACCAGAGCATGTGCCCTGACTGGGACCTGAACTGGCAATCCGTTGGTGCATGGGCCAAAGCTCAACCCCTGAGCCACACTGGCCAGGGCTGGACATTTTCTCTTTGTCTCTCATGTTTTGCTCACTAATTCCATGATTCATAAGCCACTAAACCTAATTATTTATGGATCATAAATATGAGGTCAGCAGCTTTCTCTTGTCAGCTCTTTCTCCTGGCGTACTAGAAATGCTACCTTCACTCTATATACAAGTCACATGTTTGGAAAATTGGGCTGGGTGTGCAAGTGTATGACAACAAGGAAAGAAGAAAAGAAATCTCATTCTCCCAGGTCTAAAAGAATTCATCAAATAAGGTTTCTGGAAGTCTGGGAAAGAGGTTATTGTTAACTGGTTTCTCTCTCAGACCAGGAGAGGAGTGGGAATATAAAAATGGCAACCAAGAACCCTTTTATTAGAATAGATACATCTATATTCCTGAGAAATGCAAATTCCAAAGCCATAAAAGATCTTTAGGTCTCAGGATCTATCATTTTATTAGTGTCAATACCTCTTGCAACAGTGAAGAGACCACTGGCACTGGATCAATAATCTTTCCGGAAAATATGCTAAGCCTCACTTACTTACTCCTCCCTAAATATGCCATAGACCCTTTACTAATATAATTGCTAATACCACCACCAACTCCCAGAAGCCACTGTCGTGTGAAATGTGCTCATCAGGACTGTGTCAGGGATTCACAGCTAACATCTCAATTACATGGGTAATTGAGTACACTGCTAACAAGAAGAAAAAGAAAACGGAAGTTCCTCTAACCTCTTCTGCCTAGGCCTTCTTGGCTGTGTTACTGGAATAAACTTACCTTTGGCACCACGGAGTGTTGATGTAGAAAAGTTAGAGAACTATATAAGGTGTGTCCTGATCCTAAATAGTTAGAACAAATATCCCTTAGCTTCAGGCCTTCCCTTCAAAAGTCTTGCTTTTGAAGCACTTTGGCTACCTCTGTTCCTTTCTGTTTCATTGGACAATTCACCTTCAACAGCCCACCCATTCCTGTAGAAAACTGACCATGTGCGCCGAAACCGGTTTGGCTCAGTGGTAGAGCGTCGGTCTGCGGACTGAAGGGTCCCAGGTTTGATTCCGGTCAAGGGCATGAACCCTGGTTGCGGGCACATCCCCGGTGGGGGATGTGCAAGAGGCAGCTGGTCGACGTTTCTCTCTCATTGACGTTTCTAGCTCTCTATCTCTCTCCCTTTCTCTCTGTTAAAAATCAATAAAATATATTTTAAAAGAAATAAATTTTTTTAAAAAAAAGAGTTGAAGAGATCCCGGAACAGGGAAAGGGGGCGTGTGCCGTGTCTCACCCGGTGCTCTGCCAGGAACTCCGGAGTCAGGGTCCAGGGGGCGTTCCTCACCACCTCATCCACGTAGCGGCAGTGCTGCACGGCGTCGTAGCGCTCATTTTCGTTCATCACCGTGAAGCCTTTGAAGTTGTGCGTCAGCTCATCACTGCAAACTGAGTTCACCACATCACAGGGTGGTAAGTCAAAGCCCCCTTCGCTTTACCACTGCTCAGTTTCCAACCCCTCCCGTTCCCCGGAGCTGTAACCATTTCCTCCACCCGGAGACAAATCCTCTGGAGGGTAGCTCAGTATGGGTGACAATGCTTTTCCTAATCCAAGATACACCTTCAAGAGCAACGCTCACTAAATAGTATGTTCACATTTGGAGAAGAGAGGCTTCAACGGGGCTAAAATCTTTGGCTTTGAAATAAACCTGCCATGCATTTCTGCATCAGTTAAGTTTTATAAGACTGTACTGGGCATATGAATTTGTTAAGTGAATTTTGTAATTCAGTAGGTTCAAAATAATAAACTGAAATCCAGAGTGAATGTCATTTTCAAACAGGCAACAGGGGTCTCATGTGACTACAGAAATTCAGCTAAAAACAGTGAGATAAATAAACACTGGACATCTCAGGTCACTGAGCTTGGAACTTCTCTCTCCATATATGTCATGTTTTAGAGAAGCTGTACTATATCCTTCATTTAAAAACAAAAACAAAAACCAATATACTCAGGTTATAAAGGTAGAAGAAAAAGGCTACTATAATTTTTTTCTGGCCTATACCTAAAGTCATCAGGTGTTTTCTTACCTCCCACAATGAGGTATGTATTAGGGAAAAGGTTCTTTGCTTGCATCAGAGCCCGGGCATGACCAGAATGAAATAAGTCAAATATTCCATCTGCATAAACTCTCACAGGTCGCTCATCTAAATCCAAAAGAAAATTTATTACAAAAATACAATGATTCAATATTTCCTATTTGACAAATGAAAATGGCACTGTGTGACTAATCCATCCCAGCATACCTCTCTCTTAAGGTGTGAGGAGTAACACCACACACGTCATTGGCGACAAAGACCTTTGACGTCATATCCATGAACTCTGTTAGTGTGGTTATACCAAACTGCTTAGGCAGTTGGATTTCATGATTATCTTTTTTTATTCTTAGATGTGAAAAGAAAGGGTTATCCAATAGGTAAGTCCAAAACTTCAAAATCCTCACCTTCAGTTCAGGTTTAAACTTCAGTTACACATGACCAAAATAATAGTACAGCTCTCTCATTTTCAAGCTGTCTTGAACACTAATGACTAAAGCTTTGCTTTGAAAATAAGCCTCCCTACCATTGCCCAGAGAGTAAGGAGTGATCCATAAAGGTGAGATTAAGAAAAATGGGAGGTAAGGACCAGTTATCAATTTATTGCTCCTCAGTCCCAGACTCACCCTCAGGACCTGCTCAGATGGAATTCCTTCCAGCATTTCTCCTTGACAGTGAGCATGATGTTACCCTTTCTCAGTAGAGGGTGATATAACAAGTATTTAAAAAATCAAATATATAAATATTCTTCTCTCCATTAGTGAGAATAATAAAGAACTGATTGTCAATTGTGTGTGTGTGGTAGTGGACTATGAAAGAAAAACCTTAAGACTAATTCCAAATCCAAATAAACACATAGAGAGTAAAATTGACATAATGGTTCATCATTTTTCAAATGATAACCCTAAAAGAATAGCTTTTCCTCTATTCACATCTCTACTATGTGAATAGAGGAAAAGCTATTTCTCTGTAGCAGCAGAATATAACATAAGAATGTCTCTATCACTCTGGGAAAGAAGGGCCAGAGTCTCATCAGATATACTGAAGGCAGGAATCAGATTCCTATCTCTCCTGCCTTGTAACTCAAGACACTGAATCAAGGGGGAGGAAACTGGTTCTCAGAAAGCTTATGGACTTCTTTCCAGATAGGTTTATCCATAAACAAGTAGTTTTTAAACTGAGAAATTATATATTGCTGATTGAAATATAAATTAATACAACTTAAGATGGGCAATTAGGCAATATATATCAAAAGTCAAATGACAAATGCTAATACCATTTGGCCCAGCTATTCCAGTTCTAGGAATTTATCTCACAGATATATTCGTAAAAATGTATATCATTCATTTCAGCATTGTTTGTAACAGCAAAAAGTTTAGAAAAAAAACCAAGTTTCACCCTAGCTGGTTTGGCTCAATGGATAAAGCTTTGGTCTGTGGACTGAAGGGTCCCAGGTTCAATTCCTGCCAGGGGCACATGCCTGGATTGTGGACTCAAACCCAAGCAGGGGTGTGCAGGAGGCAGCCAATCAGTGATTCTCTCTCATCATGGATGTTTCTCTCTCTCCCTTCCTCTCTGACATCAATACAAATATATTTAAAAACAAAACAAAACAAACTATCATTTTAAAAAAGAGAATACAACCTAAGTTTCAGTGAGAGATTGACTATACCACAACACATTAAAGAGCAGGAGGACTTATAGGTTATTTGTTTATATATCCACAAAGATTGGTGAAACTGGTTGCCCATAAAAGTGAGACAGTGATGAAAGGAAGGCATTCCACTCTATATTAACTTTTTCTACTTTATGAGTGTTAAGCATAACAATGCATAGATTTTATAATATAGAAAACAAAAATTATATATAAACAAATACACCAATACAATGAAAAACTGAGAAATAATATGATAAACTAAAAAGTCAGAAAGGTTATAGTTCAAGCTTGCCAACCAGCCCTTTCCTCTGTACTCTTAACCCCTTTAAGCCTGTTTCCTCATCTAAAAAAAAAAAAAAGGCAAAACAAAACAAAATCTGAGTACTATAATCTCACATCCACATCCTAGAGATCATGACCTGAAGTAACTAACATACTTTCATTTTTCCTAAACAAGTCCAGAGAGGCTATGATCTCACTTAGTTGATCCTTAAAGACAAAGGATAGAATATGAAAATTAAGAATGTTTTGTTTTTCTGCCATTAGCATATATCAAGGGCAAAGTGAGATTTCCTGTCAGTGGAAATACACAGAGTGCTGCTGTACAATGGCTATTTGCCAGTAGCTAATCATGCATATTAGGCCACGTCACCACTGAGTCCTTTTGTCAGACCAAAGCCAGCTGTGCTTCTTGCCCTTGTTAGTGTTTCCCCAACCTCCCAACTTCTTAATTCCCTATGACTTCACCCCAAGTCTTTGGTAAAACCTGGCTGGTATATTAACCAAATAGCCAGAAGGGGCCACTATTGAACTAGAAAATCTGAGGATCCATTCTTTCACCAAGTGGCTATTGGCCAGGATAACCAGACCCTCCCTCTGATTTACATCTGTTGTCTCAGCATATTATTAAGCATGAACCCTTTAATTCTCAAAATGGTCCTGATTTGGATGACAAATGACAATCCTTGCACTACTACTAGCTAACAAACTAGATGTTCTCCTTCAGGCCGAATAAACCTGGACTTCAATTTATTGTTTCTTTTGATATATTCTCTCAAATACCTATCACCAAATCTATATTGTCCCCAACAGATTTCCATTGTCCTTCAGACTCTGCTTTTTCTTCATTTCTCCCAGAGAATATATCACTGATTTTTCTTTTCTTTTTCTTTTTTTTTTCAGAAGAGATGATCTTATTTCTCAAGTCATATTTGTTTTTTCTCTGGGTAGTGAGTTTTCTCCTAGATTCCACAAACTTCCCTCTTGTATTCTCTTACCTCTCAAGTGAAAATCTGGGGGCATAGAGAGGAATGCCCCCTTGTGCTAATTATTTGTTTAAAATTCACTAACTATGGCATATTGTATGCAGATTCATTACTGGCTCATCCGTTGGCCAGCACTGGCATGAATTCAGTCAGCTACTCGACTACTTAAACATAAAACAGAACAGACGGAAGGAGATAAAGGAGAAACACCAGAGACAGCATTAGGCTAGCAAACTTTATAGGCTACTTTGTGACTATCTGTACCACCTAAAATACAATCAGTTGGCCAATGGTCTTCTATTGTTAATAACTAATATCTATGAAGAGTCACACCACTTTAGGGTGAAAAGAACACAAAGATGGAAAAACTTGGGTTTTAGCTTAAATTTTATCATAAACTATTTGTTTTACTGTAGAGGAGCTTTTAATTCTAAGTTTCTATGGACCTTAATTTCTTGTTGTAGATAGTATAAAGAAAGAGACTATAGAGTATATTACCTCAAAAAATGAACTACTTGTAAAATTATATTATTCTAAATTTTAAAAAATTAGACTTATTAGTTAGTACCTATTAATTATAGGCTTCCAAACGTGTGAAAAGCACATCTACACACATGTAATGTATCTCAGGTGGGTAACATAACTAATGTGGCCAGGTCTGAGTGAGGTGCTGAATTCTGAAAGTGAGTCATCAAAGTGCATGAAAAGTCCTTGCCCTCAGTAGACTCTACTATCACATCTGAATGTGACCTTTGTTCTGTTTGGTGGCATTTTGAAATCTGACCTGCCAGCATTACACCTTGTTACCTATAGCCTGTTTTTCCATGTTATCATTTCACCTGCTCCATTAGCCTTTATTCCTCAAACAAGGGGAACCAATCCCAAAACATCACATTATGAATTAGAAGGGCTGTGATCAACATGTATAAACACTTTTGCAAATGAAAAGCATTCTTTGAAATTTTGAGGACCCAAACTATACTCCACAGAGCCAAGATTTAGTCAGAGAGTATTGGGATCCCTGGCCTGACACTGTACAGCATTCATTTCTATTCGCATTTCACTATTCCTCAGTTATAACAAGGAGCAAATATACTAACACAATTAAGAAGTAGCCACAGCCCAGTCAGCGTGGCTCATGGTTGAGCATCGACCTGTGAACCAGGAGGTCACAGTTTGATTCCTGCCCAGGACACATTCCCAGATTGTGGGCTTGATCCCCAGTGTGGAGCATGCAGGAGGTAGCTGATCAATGATTCTCTCGCATCACTGATGTTCCTATCTCTCTCTCCCTCTTCCTTCTTCTCTGAAATTAATAAATAAATATATATGTGTGTGTGTATATATAATATATATGTGAATATATATATACATATATACATATATTGAATATATATACATACATACATATATATATATAGAGAGAGAGAAGTAACCACAAATATTCTATATAATAAAAACCTAATAACACAAATTGTTCAACCAGAAGTTCAACCACTCACTATGACGTGCACTGACCACCAGGGGGCAGCATGGAACAAGGTGGGCATCCAAGACTCAGTGCTGACAGTGGGCAGCAGAGGAGGTTCTGCCAGCCCTGATGGGCCCTGACGAGAGTGGGACCACAGCAGGATGGTGGAGCAGGTGAGCAGGCAGCACTAGGCCAAGGAGGGTGCAAACGGGGGTCCGATCACCTCACAGATTGCTACCAGTGATGGTGGCTGGGAGGGTGGGGGGTAGGGGAGGGCAGGGCTGTTTCCCGGCTCCCAGGCGCTGAGGGAGCTGGTGGGGGGCAACCATAATCAATCAACCCATAGACGGTCACCCTTGTCGGCAGGCCCTGATCGGTTCAGGGCCAGGCCCCAGGCTGGAATGGAGACCTGGAGGGTGAGGGGTGGCAGTGACCAACCTCCCGCGGAACCCAGGCAGGTGGCTGCGACCTCTCACTTCACCGGCTACCTGGGTGCGTGGGTGCCAAGGACAGAGAGGTATGGTGAGAATGCAGGGTGTCCACCGAGCTCGCTCTCACTCCTCCTGCTGCCCTCCCCGGGACACCAGAGCTCACGCGCCAAGAAGCCCCGATACTCAGGTGCTGGGCCCCACGAGGAGCACGCTCTGCACCCAAGGGCCTCTTCTGCTGAGCCGCGCCACAGCCACTGGGACCACAGGGGCCGGTCGGGCTCCCCATGGGTTCGCACAGGAGCCAGTCTGCAAGGGGAGAGAGCAAGGTGCCCGCCTGCTTCCTTGTGGCACCACTGGGTGGCCCAGAGGCCCATGCTGCACCCCATCCCATGGCATCCGGCCATGCTCACCGCACCTCCTCATGGGGACTAGGGCCTTGTGACTCAAGCGGGGGGGAAGGGGACACGATGACGACGACGAAATGTGGGGGCCTAGAGGGCCTTGGTGCTGCCCAGGGCCCAGAATTCAGCTAGGACCTGCCCTTCTACGCCAGATGCTCAAGCTTCAATCACCAGCCAGGTCTAGGGACTGTATCTGTGCACAAATTTCATGCACTGAACCTCTAGTCTTCCATAAAGATTTATGGCTATAACTGCTTCTTACTCCCTAGTGCTTGCCAGAGTTTGAGTCAAGACCTATGCTTACAGAATAGACAAAATACTTTACTATAGTGATTGAAAAAAATAAAGAAGGATTGAATAAAAGGAGAATTGAAGAATTCATAAAGAAGGACAGCCAAAACCCAGTTTGGCTCAGTGGATAGAGGGTCGGTTTGCGGACTGAAAGGTCTCAGGTTCAATTCCAGTCAAGGGCATGTACATTGGTTGTGGGCACATCCCCAGTGGGGAGTGTGCAGGAGGCAGCTGGTCGATGTTTCTCTCTCATTGATGTTTCTAGCTTTCTATCCCTCTTACTTCCTCTCTGTAAAAAAATCAAAATATATTAAAAAAAAAAAAAAAGAAGAAGAAGAAGTAAGGACAGCTGCCTATAAGACTGTATTCACAACATATGCTCATGGAAGTTTCTATTTATGATGATCCCTAAAACTAATTGAGTATCTAGAATACACATATTATGTAAACTGAGCATACAAATAAAGAGTATGGGCTTTGAAAATAATAAAGTGAGTCTTTAAAACACTGGAAAATTACAATATCAAGGAAGGTAAGCCCTAGCTGGTTTGGTTCAGTGGATAGAGCATCAGCCTGCAGACTGAAGGGTTCAATTCGATTCCGGTCAAGGGCACATGCCCCCAATGGGGGATGTGCAGGAGGCAGCCAATCAATGATTGCTTTCATCATTGATGTTTCTATCTCTTTTTTCCTCTCTCTTCCTTTCTGAAATCAATAAAGATATATTTTTTTTTAAAAAGAAAGATAAAATTAAGTGATGAGTATCTTTTAACTTGAGATATTTTTGTCTTCTATCATCAACAGCATAATAGCTAGGGTACTTACTAATAGAAAGGAAGATTTGGGGAACAAATTGAAGATTATTAAAAATGTGGTAGCCTGATATATTATTTGGACCTTTATAAAAATCGATAAGGTTAAAGTCCAACTCTGCTATATCTCATAATTATGGTAATAGACCAAGAAGCAAATATGTACTACTATATCTCAAAGCTGTGATAACACCCTGGGAAACAAGTGCCTAATACATAATTTTAAAAAAATGCAATTTTATGGAGTACAGGTATCCTCCCAAAAGAATAACAAGGGAGCTAGAAAGAACCCATCTCCCTTGTCCCAACTAGTCTTTATAGGTAAAATGAGGGAAGAATATAGAAAGTGGGTGTATATTTGATAAATACAATTAAACGCTAAAAATAACAACTAAGTAATAGGGCATTTACTTACAAGGAGTTCCTCTGCTGGCTTCTTCCATAGTTACCCTGACATAGGGCTTATTAAAGTCTACTTCAATTTCATCAGAAAAAGGAGCTGGCTGCCGTAAGCCCTTAAGAAGAGAAAAGTGAAAGAGGGGAAAAATAGTTAAATTCAATGGTACAAACTGAAATACTCAAAAAATGGCAGCTCTAAAGAACAATCAGTTTCTTAATATACTGTGACTAAAATTCCTCCTAAAAGTTCAATAACACAAAAAATAAAAAGAAATTCCAAAATGACAAGTGAAAGTTACAACCTTTCTTTTTAAAATTTCTTTATTGATTAAGGCTGTGGTCGGCAAACTGCGGCTCATGAACTACATGCGGCTCTTTGGCCCCTTGATGTGGCTCTTCCACAAAATACCTCAGCCTGGATGAGTCTATTTTGAAGAAGTTGCGTTAGAAGAAGTTTAAGTTTAAAAAATTTGGCTCTCAAAAATTAATTTCAATCATTGTACTGTTGATATTTGGCTCTGTTGACTAATGAGTTTGCCAACCACTGGATTAAGGTATTATATATGTGTCCTTATCCCCCCATTTACCCCCAACCCCTTACTCATGCCCTCACCTCCCTGTTGTCTCTGTCCATTGGTTAGGCTTATTATATGCATGCATACAAGTCCTTTGGCTGATCTCTCTCCCTTTCCCCTACTCTCCCTTATTTTCCCTCTGAGGTTTGACGGTCTGATCTATGCTTCTCTGTCTCTGGATCTGTTTTTGTTCATCAGTTTAAGTTGTTCATTATATCTCATAAATGAGTGAGATCATGTGATATTTATCTTTCTCTGACTGGCTTATTTCACTTAGAACAATACTCATCTAAAGAGCAAATCACGGTGTCAAAGATAAATAAATGTTTGCTAATGATTTCAGGGTAAAGGCTGAACAAGATGGCTGGCAACAGTCCCAACTAACCAGGCCCAGAATGACGGCTGCTCTGCTGCCTGGCAGCACAGCCAACCCTGATCTATGTGACAAAACTGCCAAGGTTCATAAGTGCATTTTCAAATCACTTCAACTAGTAGATTGGGAAGGCAAACAGCTCCTGTGTACTTTACTAAGCACAATTATCATTGTGTAATGCTTTGTACTGCAAATATATTCTAATACTCATAACAGCCCTGTGAATCAAGTAATATAATAGCTGGTATCCTCAAGAAAATGAGGTTCAGAGAAGTTAGATGAATTGTAGGCAATTACAGTAAAACCTCAATATAATGACTAGTTCAGGTGAGAAGGTGGCCAAAATTCTCTTATGTAAGTAGTTTTTCTGAATGCATATATAAAAAAATTAACAAATTAGTTAATTTACCTGTTTTTATTTATGTAGACACATTTGTGTAACTAAACTTAAATATGTATGAAAAGTTTACTTTCACAGGAAAATGTTCTATATGTATTAAAATCATTTTAAATTTATATTGAATAGTTTTAGCAATTCACCAGTCACCAGAGGTAAACAAATGCACACGGCTGGGGCGTGGCTTAGTGCACATCAGAACGTCAACCCACTGGTGTTAAAACTGCTTGAGAAAGAGCATAGGTTGGATCAGAGACAGAGTCTTCAATAAATGGTGTTGGGAAAATTGGACAGGTACATGCAAAAAAATGAAACTAGCCCACCAACTTACACTATATACAAAAATAAACTCAAAATGGATAAAAGACTTAATGTAAGAAGTGAAACCATAAAAGTCCTAGAAGAAACCATAGGCACCCAAATCTCAGACATCTTTTGTAGCAACATATTTACTGATACAACTCCTAGAACAATGGAAACTAAGGAGAAAATAAACAAATGGAACTATATTAAATAAAAAGCTTCTGCACTGCAAAAGAAACCATCAACAAATTAACAAGAGAGCCCACTACATGGGAAGATATATCTGCCAATTATACATCTGATAAAGGGTTATTCTCCAAAATTTATAGGGAGACACAGTGATCCCACTTTTAGAAATATATCCTAAGAAACCTGAAACACTCATCAGAAAGAATATATGCATCCCTATGTTCATAGCAGCGCAAATTACAATAGCTAAAATTTGAAACAGCTTAAGTGCCCATCAGCAGATGAATGGATAAAAAACCTTTGGTACATTTATACAATGGAATACTATGCGGCAATAAAAAAAGAAAGAACTCTTACCATTTGCAACGGCATGGGTGAATCCGAGCAAAATAAACCAGTGAGAGAAAGGTAAGTATTACACAAGCTCACTCATCTGTGAATCTAATGGACCAAACAAACTGATGAGCAAAAATAGACCCAGAGCCCAGTCGGCGTGGCTCAGTGGTTGAGCTTTAACCTATGAAGTGTCTCAGTGGTTGAGCGTTGACCTATGAACCAGGAGCTCAGGGTTCGATTCCTGGTCAGGGCACATGCTCAGGTTGCGGGCTCAATCCAAGGTGTGGAGTGTGCATCAGGCAGCTGATCGATGATTCTCTCTAATCATTGACGTTTCTATCTCTCCCTCCCTCTTCATTCCTCTCTGAAGTAAATAAAAATATATTTAAAAATAAAACAGACGCAGAGACATAGAAACATGAACAGACTGTTGAAACTCAGAGAAAAGGCAGGAAAGGGGTGGGTGGAAAGAGATCAACCAATGAACTAGTATGCATATGTGCATAACCCGAGAACACAGACAATGGGATGGTTAGGGCTTGGGGATAGGGGGAGATAGGATCAGGCAGGAAGAGCTTAATGGGGAGGAAAAGAGGACCTTTTGTAATATTTTCAAAAATAAAGATTTTAATTTTTTTCCAGATATTAAAACTTGATTTTATTTTTATTTATTTTTTAAATAAATCTTTATTATTCAGATTATTACAATTGTTCCTCTTTTTTTTCCCCCCATAGCTCCCCTCCACCCGGTTCTCACCCCACTCTCTGCCCTTACTGCTCCCACACACAGTCCTCATCCATAGGTGTTTGATTTTTGTCCAGTCTCTTCCCGCACCTCCACACCCTATCCCCCCCTCCTCCCCTGAGGATTGTCAGTCCACTCCCTTTCTATGCCTCTGGTTCTATTATATTCACCAGTTTATTCTGTTCATCAGATTTTTTTATTCTCTTGATTTTTAGATTCACTTGTTGATAGATATGAATTTGTTGTTCATAATTTTTATCTTTACCTTTTTCTTTTTCTTCCTTTTTTTAAAGAATACGTCTAGCATTTCATATAATACTGGTTTGGCAGTGATGAACACCTTTAGCTTTTTCTTATCTGTGAAGCACTTTATCTGATCTTCAATTCTGAATGATAGCTTTGCTGGGTAGAGTAATCTTGGTTGAATATTTCTTGCCACTTCCATCTGGCCTGCATAATTTCTGTTGAGAAATCAGCTGACAATCATATGGGTGCTCCCTTGTAGGTAACTGTTTTTCTCTTGCTGCTTTTAAAATTTTTTGTCTTTTGCCATTGACATTTTAATTATGATGTGTCTTGATGTGGTACTCTTTGGATTCCTTTTGTTTGGGGTTCTCTGTGTTTCCTGGACTTGTAAGTCTATTTCTTCCACCAGGTGGAGGAAGTTTTCAGTCATTATTCTTCAAATAGGTTTTCAGTATCTTGCTCTCTCTCTTCTTATGGCACCCCCATAATTCTGATGTTGGTACACTTGAAGTTGTCCCAGAGGCTCCTTACACTATCTTCATATTTTTGGATTCTTTTTGCTTTTTGCTTTTCTGGTTGGGTGTTTTTTGCTTCTTTGTATTTCAAATCTTTGACTTGATTCTTGCAATCCTCTAGTCTGCTGTTGGATCTCTGTATATTGTTTTTTATTTCAGTCAGTGTATGCTTAATTTCTAGTTGGTCCTTTTTCATATCAGCCTTTTCTAGGAAATTCTTGAAAAACCTTATAACCGTGGTTTTGAACTCTATATCCAGTCTTTTGTTCTCCTCCATCCCTCTTGTTTGAGATCTATTTCCTTGTCTTGGCATTTTCGCTGCTTCCCAGAGTTGGTAGGATGGCTTTGTGTGCTTGATGTCCTATATGGCCCAGTGGGTCAGCCTCCCCAGTTGCTTGAGGTAGACACTCTTAGTGCTTCCCTTTGTGGACTGTGTGTACAGCCTTGTTGTAGTTAAGTCTAGACTGTTGTTGGTATCACTGGGAGGAATTGACCTCCAGGCCAATTGGATGTGAGTATCAGCTGTGTCTGCTCCAGGATACCTTCTGTATTGGAGACAGTCTTATAGGATCAGACTTGCAAAATTGCAAAAGCCTCTGTGCTCAGCTTGGATGGGGCGGAGTCTCAGGGCTGAGCCGACAGTCCTGGCTTCCAGTCAGCCTGCCCTTGTGCGCACGTCTCAGACCTCTGCCTTCCGCGGCTCCCCTGAGTTTCCACCTGACAGTCCAGATTCCCCTTGTGTGGAATGGGTGCCCCAGGGGCTTGCCCAGAATTGGGTTGGGTCTCTGTAGTCCGGAGCTTCTGACTCCTTCTGCTATGGAGAGGTTGCGGCAGCCTCCATGGTCAGACCTCTCTGCTCGCGCTCACTCGCGCGCAACTGTAGACCCTGCCCGCTGCGGCTCCTGGCTCCCCAGCGTCTCCCAATCTCCGAATCTCCATGTGCCTTTCTCTACAGTCCAGACTCCACCCAGATGAGCCTGGGTCCATGGGGTTTCAGCCGGGGCTGGGGTTCAGTGTAGCCGGGGGCTTCCTTTCCCCTCCCACCAGCCAGGCACTCAGCCACCCTTCCTCTCTACATGACTGCGTGCGAGTGTCTCCCTACCTCAGAGCTTTGCAGCTCCCCTGATCTGTAAGTCTTTTTCCTTCTTTCTAGTTTTAGATTTTTCCACTCAGCCAGCTTTCCTGTGGTTTTGGATGATGTCCTTCCTGTCTTTTAGTTGTTGTTTTGAAATTGTTGGGTGAGGTGGCAGATTAGGTGCTTATCTAGGCCACCATCTTGGTTTCTCCAAGGGTACACAGCACTTCTTCTTAATCCATTCACCTATTTATGGATAAAAATTGCTTTCAAGCCTAGCCAGCATGGCTCAATGGTTGAGCAGCAACCTATAAACCAAGAGGTCACGGTTCGATTCCCAGTCAAGGCACATGCCTGGGTTG